TCCTATTCTGTTCAATTAGCATAACTAACGGCGCCAACACAAGCATTTCGAGGTGGCTCGTCTGGTGAAATTTAAAGAGAAACAGCGCCCATTGTCTCTCCTCCCTCATCCACCTTCTTGCTTCCCTCGCCTCATCCACCTCCTTGCTTCCCTCTCCTCATCCACCTCCTTGCTTCAGTCACCTCATCCACCTCCTTGCTTCCCTCTCCTCATCCATCTCCTTGCTTCCCTCTCCTCATCCACCTCCTTGCTTCCCTCTCCTCATCCACCTCCTTGCTTCCCTCTCCTCATCCACCTCCTTGCTTCCCTCTCCTCATCCACCTCATTCCCCTCCTTGCTCTTTCCTCCATCCACCTCCTTGTTCCATCCTCTGTCCACCTTGCCCTTACTCCATCCAGCTCCTGGCTTTCCCCTATCCACCTCCTCCCCTCCCCCCTCCACCTCATCCGCATCCTTTGCTGTCTTCTCCATCCACCTCATTCCCCTCCTTGCTCTTTCCTCCATCCACCTCCTTGTTCCATCCTCTATCCACCTCGCCCTTACTTCATCCAGCTCCTGGCTTTCCTCTATCCACCTCCTCCCCTCCCCCCCCTCCACCTCATCCGCATCCTTGCTGCAAGTCTTCTCCATCCACCTCTTTACCCTTCCACATCCACCTCCTTTTTTTTTCTCGTCCATCCACTTCCTTGTTCCTCCACATCCACTTTCCTTGCCCTCGCCCCCTCCACCCCCTCCACCCATCCACCCCCCACCCCCCCCCATCCACGCGAAAGCCAACCCGCCCGAAAAAAAAGTCCCAAGAACCTATTCTCCGGTAAGGTTCACGTCTCCCTGGACACCTCGGGGGATAACCCCCTAATACCCCAGCGAACATAGCATCCTCTCGCTCTCCCGGCCCGAGCTGCCTTCAAGTGGAGAGGCGTAAGGTTGTTACTAAATTGGATTTCGGAGACTGCGTTGGGTGGTGAGGGCGCCCCCCCCACCCGTGGTGAGGGCCCCCGGTGTTATGAGGGTAGCTGGTGTTATGAGGGCATCTGGTATGGTGAGGGGCGGGGTGGTGAGTGGTGAGGGCACCTGGTGTTAAGGGACCCCCGGTGTTATGAGGGCATCTGGTATGGTGAGGGTAGCTGGTGTATAGGGCAGGTGGTGAGGCCCCCCCCCCCGGTGGTGAGGGCACCTGGTGTTAAGGGACCCCGGTGTTATGAGGGCACCTGGGTTATGAGGGTAGCCGGTGTTAAGGGCAGCTGGTGTTATGAGGGCACCTGGTGTTGTGAGGGTAGCTGGTGTTAAGGGGCAGCTGGTGTTATGAGGGTAGCTGGTGTTATGAGGGCAGGTGGTGGTGTGATGGTAGCTGGTGTTGTGAGTGTAGCTGGTGTTAAGGGGCCCCCGGTGTTATGAGGTACCTGGTGTTATGAGGGTAGCTGGTGTTAAGGGGCAGCTGGTGTTATGAGGGTAGCTGGTGTTATGAGGGTAGCTGGTATGGTAAGGGTAGCTGGTGTTATGAGGGCAGGTGGTGTGACGGCAGGTGGGGTGTGAGGGCACCCGGTGTTAAGGGGCCCCCGGTGTTATGAGGGCACCTGGTGTTGTGAGGGTAGCTGGTGTTAAGGGGCAATTGGTGTTATGAGGGCACCTGGTGTTAAGGGGCCCCCGGTGTTATGAGGGTAGCTGTATGGTAAAGGGTACCTGGTGTTGTGAGGGCAGGTGGTGTTGTGAGGGTAGCTGGTGTTGTGAGGGCAGGTGGTGTTGTGAGGGCACCTGGTGTTAAGGGGCCCCGTGTTATGAGGGCATCTGGTATGGTAAGGGTAGCTGGTGTTATGAGGGCATCTGGTATGGTAAGGGTAGCTGGTGTTATGAGGGTAACTGGTGTTATGAGGGCAGCTGGTTTGAGGGGCCCCCGGTGTTATGAGGGCACCTGGTATGGTGAGGGTAGCTGGTGTTATGAGGGCAGGTGGTGTTGTGAGGGCACGTGTGTTATCAGGGCACGTGGTGTTATGAGGGCACCTGTGTTGTGAGGGTAGCTGGTGTTGTGAGGGCAGGTGGTGGTGTGAGGGCAGGTGGTGGTGTGAGGGGGGGAAGGGAAGGGCGGAAGATGGAAGTTCACCTTATAGTTGCTAACACGCACACACAAACAGACACACACACACACACACACGCATCCACACACACGCGTAAACTCTGCTCCAACAACACACACACACGCACACGCTCAAACCCTGCCCACACAAACACACGCGAAATATGTATGTAGCAATGATAACGTAAACAGATTTAATAATAATGACTGCTAAGAAGATAATTATAACAATAATGATAATGCTAGTAACGATAACGAAACAATAGCAACAATATCTATGACAGCAATAGTACCGAAGCCACTCCTAGCATAAGTACAATAGCACATTTCACAATTTGTAATCTTTATACGCCTGTCCACTCATTACATTATTGAGTCTGTATCAATTTCTCCATCAAATGACAATATTTTCATAGGAAGATGCATGTCGAAAATTACTGTTTGTTATTAATAAAAGTACTTGTAAATTAGCCTTTTCAGTGAAGTACAATTTGGGTGAAAACACTCTTGGGTTATGCACTCGACAGCCATTTTCATTAGCCTATCAGAGTGTGTAATATACCACCGACGTTGTCAATAGTCGGTTGGTAATATATGCATCGTCTATTGTATTATCACAATGAAAATGACATCCGTATTATAGCTCTTTCGCATATTTACAACGACGAAAAGGTCATCGATACACAAGCGTAGCATTAACGTGCAGATATTCGAGAGAGCGACCTCAATTCCCCCCCCCCCCCCCCCGCAAATCTCCCCCGTCTTCTTTCCATTTTGTTAATCGAGGAAGTGTATGTTCTCAATTACAGCGTGCAAGTCAAGCGGAATAGATATGCTCTCCGGTAGATGGCGGCGTCTCATTAACTAACAGGTGAAAGTTTCCTCTTCTCCTCAACAGATGGCGTTGCATACGAAAAGGGGCTTTGTAGTTTGTCTTTGATCTCGCGGCGGGGAGGCTAGGGGGAGGGGTGGGGGTGGGGGTAGGGGGTAAGGCCGACTAGATTCTCTGCAATTGAAGTCTATTGTAAAACAGTATGTATTCTGGAACGCGTAGGAGGTTATATATAACTGTACGCCACGCACACAGAAACGCGCGCGCGCACACACACACACACACACACACACACACACACACACACACAACACACAACACACACACACACACACACACACACACACACACACACACACACACACAAAGAAAGACACAAACAAACACACCACACACAAAGAAAGAAAGAAACAAACACACACACACACTCCAAGACACAAACACAAATAGACAAAGATAAACATTATTGTAAAAATTCTGACTGCTTTTAAACACGATTAGGAATTATAATGATAATTAAGCCCATTACTCTGAAAGACCAAGGGATTATTTTTTTTATAAATATCTATGTATAAAAATATCGTGACTGTAACATCAAAAAGTATTTAGATTATGGTGACATTATGAACAAATATCAGCTTGATTTTTGTTTTGTTTAGTTGTAAGTGTACGCTGTGTGTGTGTGTGTGTGTGTGTGTGTGTGTGTGTGTGTGTGTGTGTGTGTGTGGTGTGTGTGTGTGTGTGCGTGTATGTGTGTGCGTGGTATATGTGTGTGTGTGTATAACTGGATAAGTGCTTTAGTAAGTGAACACATATGCAAAATGAAAAATAGACGAGAAAGATAATTACACAAATAAATATGAATAGATAGATATAGAAACAAACATAAAGACAAGAAATACATGAATGACAAGACATATAAATAAAGAATGATCAAAATAGACCATTAAATAAAAAATGAAGTAAATAAACAACGGAAAGCGAACAGGATACGAACAGAAAAAGAAAACATACACCTTGAACTTCAAAAATATACTTAAATCATGAAAAAATAAACTTTAATTACAGAGATTACATTAACAAAACAACAAAAAACACCAACAGCTCTCAACTACACAAAAAAACTTAAATCACACAAACCTTTATAATATCATAATAATTTATAATAGTATTACGACCTCCACCAAGAGTTAATAAGACATAGTTAATACCACACTGTCTCTAACAAACTTTTCCCTTCGCCATATCCATTCAAAACACAAAAGGAAATTTGGTTCACTTTACTCAAAACACAAAAGCTAACAAGGTTCAGTTCATTTAAATCAAACGTTATTATGATTTATTTCATTCAAAACACAAAAGGAAATTTGGTTCAGTTCACTCAAAACACAAAAGCTAACAAGGTTTATTTCATTAAAATCAAACAGTTATTAAGATTTAGTTCATTCAGAACACAAAAGGAAATTTGGTTCAGTTCACTCAAAACACAAAAAGCTAACAAGGTTCAGTTCATTTAAATCAAACGTTATTATGATTTATTTCATTCAAAACACAAAAGGAAATTTGGTTCAGTTCACTCAAAACACAAAAGCTAACAAGGTTCAGTTCATTTAAATCAAACGTTGTTAAGATTTAGTTCATTCAGAACACAAAAGCTAAAAAGGTTCAGTTTCACTCTCACATCAAAAAAGTTAAGATATATTCATTTTAGAAACACAAAAGCTAAAAGGTTAATTCATTTAAATCAAAAGTTATTAAGATTTAGTTTATTCAGAACACAAAAGGTAAAAAGGTTTAGTTCATTCACATAAAAAAGTTATCAAGATTTAGTTCATTCAAAACAAACAATAATAAGGTTTAGTTCACTCAAAACACAAAAGCTAAAAAGTTCAGTTTATTCAAAACACAAAAGCTAACAAGATTCACTTCACTCAAAACACAAACACAAATCAGGTTCATTCCACTCAAAACACAAAAGCTAAAAAAGTTCATTTCACTCAAAGCACAAAAAAATAATAAGGTATGGTTCTTACCACACTGTCTCTCCCAGGCGATCCTCCTCGGTCGAATGGCGTCAGATGCAGGTAGGGCAGCATAATCGACTCCTGCTAAGTTATAAAGGCAGTGTTAGACAGAGGTATGATTGGGGAGGTGTAGGGGGTGTAGCTGGGGTAGAGGTGTGTAGGAGAGGGGGGGGGAGAGGAGTAGGAGAGGGGAAAAGGGGGTTAGGAGAGAAGGGAAAGGGGTGTTGGAGAGGGGGGAGAGGGTGTAGCTGGGGTAGAGGTGTGTAGAGAGGGAGGAGAGGGATAAGGGAGGGGGAAAGGTGTGTAGGGGAGGGGGAAGGGGTGTTGGAGAGGGGGAGAGGGTGTAGCTGGGTAGAGGTGTGTAGGAGAGGGGGGGGGAAGAGGAGTAGGAGAGGAGGGAAGGGGTGTAGGGGGGGTGGGGTAGGGGTAAGGGGATTAAGTGTAGAGGGGAAGGAGAAGTATCAGGAGGTGATTGTGTGTGTGTGTGTGTGTGTGTGAGAGAGAGAGAGAGAGAGAGAGAGAGAGAGAGAGAGAGAGAGAGAGAGAGAAGAGAGAGAAGAGAGAGAGAGAGAGAGAGAAGAGAGAGAGAGATGTGGAGATGGGGTGTTTCAGGAGGAAGGGGGGTGTTGGAGTAGGGGATTTAGGGTGGAAAGAAGGTGGGGGTTGTTAAAGGGAAGATTGGATTGGGGAGGGTGATGTAGCAGAGAGAGAGAGAGAGAGAGAGAGAGAGAGAGAGAGAGAGAGAGAGAGAGAGAGAGAGAGAGAGAGGAGAGAGAGAGAGAGAGAGAGAGAGAAGAGAGAGAGAAAGATATAGAGATCGAGAAATCCAGAGATAGACAGAGAGAGAGAGAGAGAGAGATACAGAGACAGACAGGCAGACATAGAGAAAGACCAAGAACAACAGACAACCAAAGACACACAGAAACACAGACAGACAGACAACAAAGACACACAGACAGACAGACAGACACAACACACAGACACACAGACACAGACACACAGACAGACAGACAGACAACCCCATACCCGTATTTTTTCCCCCCGTGAGTGATAAACGTCTCCAACAGTTAGAAATTAGATATGCGAAAGTTTAGCCTCCAAGTTTTGCGAGTTTGGGGCAAAACTTTTTTTTTTCGAAAACTGAAAACAGTCTGGAGACAGGATGGACCCCAGACATCTTCGTTCCCTCTCGATTGAAAAGAAAGGAAGAGAGAGAGAGAGAGAGGAGAGAGAGAGAGAGAGAGAGAGAGAGAGAGAGAGAGAGAGAAGAGAGAGAGAGAGAGAGAGAGAGAGAGATTGAAGAAGAGAGAGAGAGAGGAGAGAGAGAGAGAGAGAGAGAGAGAGAGAGAGAGAGAGAGAGAGAGAGAGAGAGAGAGAGGAGAGAGAGAGAGAGAGAGAGAGACAGAGAGAGAGAGATTGAATGAGAGAGAGAAAGAGATATAGATAGATAGATATATAGATATATGAGAGAGACAGAGAAAGAAAGACAGACAGACAGAGAGAGAGAGAGAAGAGAGAGAGAGTGAGAGAGTGAGAGAGTAAGAGAGTGAGAGAGAGAGAGAGAGAGAGAGAGAGAGAGAGAGAGAGAGAGAGAGAGAGAGAGAGAGAGAGAGAGAGAGAGAGAGAGAGAGAGAGAGAGAGAACGAGAGAGATGAGCAAGAACGAGAGATAGATTCATAGAAATATAGACAAACAGACAAATAGACAGACATATAGATAAATAGAAATAGATAGATAGATAGAGACTGATAATCAAATAGACAAAGAAAAGCAAAGAAGCAAATCCTTCAATGAAAAAAATACACAATTCTTTATACATAAGAATTAAATATCTCTAATAATAATGATAATGATGATAATGATAATCATAACAACAACAAAAATAACAATAATAACAACAACAATGATAATAATACATACATTTTTCTTTCATTTTCTTTTCTTCCTTTCTTTCGTTTTTCTTTTTTTTCTTTTATTATAGACCTAATAGCGACAATGATCAGGATTAACGATAATAATTCTCGACTATGATCACATTGATAAGATTTCAATAATGAAGATTGCAAATACAACTCTAGGAGTAGGAATAATATCAGATTATGATAATTATAAAGATGACGATGATAGTAATTGTGATAGGGACAATAGATAATAAGGAGGATAATGTTGATAATGTTAATGATAATAATAACAAAAGTAAGACATATTCATAATGATAAAGATGAGAACAATGATAATGATAATGACGATAGTGTTAATACTGATAGTAACAACGAAAACAACAATTGTAATGATGATGATGATGGTGATGATGATAATGACAATAATGATAATAATAATAATAGTAATAATGATGGTGATAATAATAATGATAATGATAATGATGACAATAAAATAATGAAGTTGATGACAATGATGGTGCTAAAAACAATGATAATAATAATGATAATGATATGTTAATGATGATAATGATGATAATGATAATAATTATGATAATGATAATAATAGTAATAATAAAAAGGATAGTAATGATGATAACGAAACTGCAATAATAATAATAATAATAATAA